ATATTCGTAAGTTAAAATTGATATACACGAAGTTAGCCAGTAACAACCTGAGATTACACTGGGATATCGTTGCTTTCTATATTGTTATCTACAAATTTATTGAATTTGTGATTGTTTACTTAAAGTTTTTAACAACAAGAACTGACAAGTGCGATCTTACAGTCCTTGATATGTAGTATATGCAATCAATAAGAGATAACTAAATTAATAACTAATACCATTTACAAATTACACAGAATTATACAAATATATTAAACAGTAAAGGAAAGTGTATTATGATAAAGTGTAAACAACCCATATTGGAATACTTATAAATGCAATTAATCTGGACAGTCATCTCGGAATATAAATGAAAGGTGCAAGGAAGACAGAAGCAAAAATTACAGATTGTTGTCTACATTTTTGCTAGTGAATATGTGGGTGTTTTTTACAAAAATAACAGATTTTTCGTAATTATTATACGTTTAGTATTGTTTTTCATTTTTTCGATAATCTAAACATGTTTTCCATAATATTCAACTTACGGAAAATTTTAGAAGATACTATAGGTAAAAGTATATTTTTACATACATATTATTGGTATGATATTATGTTATATATATATAAAAAAAAACCGAATTTTTTAATACTTCTATAAAAATAAGATACAAACATTGTATAATGAATAATTTATATAATATTGTTTTAGTTGAATATATCGATGTGGATTTTACACTTTGGTTGTCATGGCTTTTAATGCCAATGTTAATAACATTTTTACTTCCATTTGCAATTGTAGTATTATTATACTTAACTGTATTAATATTATATGTATATAAGCTACACAGGTGGGTTTTTATTACCTTGATCATAGATCAAAAATAAGTTTTACAATTAACATTTTATTTTACATTAATAGAGTTAAATTGAGAAATGCATATGGATCAGATTGGAGGAATGCAGCTCGTAATGTGGTAGCTGCAGTATGGGATGCACATGGTTGGATTTGGTATGGTATGTTGTAAATCAAATTGGGCATTTGCATTTATAATGGGATATATAATAGTTATTTTCATTGCATATGATTGATTTTTATATGATTCTTTTGTTTTCTGTTAATCAATAATATTTCTCTACACATTTTTCAGGGTATGAAACAATTGGACTAGAAAATATACCAGAAAATGAACCAGTGCTTTTTGTTTACTATCATGGAGCTATTCCTATAGATCTTTATTATTTTATATCCAAAGTATTGCTTTTAAATTCAAAGCTAATTCATACAGTAGCAGATAGATTTCTTTTTAAATGTCCTGGGTGGTCTATTATCTCTGATGTGTTAAATGTCATACCTGGTACAGTTCAAACATGTTCTGCTATTTTAAAAGAGGGAAACATGCTTGCTATTTCACCTGGTGGTGTTTATGAAGCTCAGTTTGGAGATTCTTATTACCAATTAATGTGGAAAAAACGAGTGGGTTTTGCGAAGGTTGCATTAGATGCCAAAGTGGTATGTTATTTTATTGTGCCTTTCTTTTATATTTACATCATTTTGAAATATTAATATTTTTGTAACAGTGCATAATACCTTTGTTTACAAAAAATGTTAGAGAAGCATTTAGAACAATAAGTTGGGGTAGAAGAATGTGGTTAAGAATATATGCTGCCACCAGATTTCCTTTTGTACCTATCTATGGTGGTTTTCCAGTAAAATTGACAACATATGTTGGTAAACCAATTCCATATGATGCAAATTTTACACCTGAAGAGTTACAAATTAAGGTAATGGAAGCAGCAATTCAACTTTTTCTTTTGTATTTGTCAAGTTTTAAATAAAAGAAGTAATAATAATAAATTAAAAGCTTAGTAATTGTAGATTTATTATTACTGTTTTCAGGTTGCTGATGCACTTAATAATTTAATAAATGAACATCAAAGAATACCTGGAAGTATATCATTAGCTTTATTAGAGAGAGTATATACTCCAAAGGAAAAGCAGTGATAACTTAGCATATTTGCAAATATTATAATGCTATATCTTATGCCATGAAATGGAAAAGTATTTAAAAATTATTATACTTTTAAATATATTTAATTACTAAATAGATTCTATTAAACTTACAGTTTATGTAAGTTAAACGATATTAGCTTTGTATTAACGAAATTGTACTTATTTTTAAATAATTTATGTATTTGCTTATGTATTACGTAAATTTTTTATGTCTTATCTTAATAATCGATACATTTTTTATATAAGTGTTATAAAATTGATATTTATAATTTTATATATATAATTGACAACAATTTTTAATTTATTTTACAAATGTAAATTTCATTTTATTACGACCAGTGCTATTAATATAAGTAATTTGTAAATATATTTTTTATTGCAAGCATTTGCAGTATGCTTGCAATTTGCCAATAATTCCATAAAATATTGTATAAGTACTTATATTTGTTCCTTTATTTATTAACTTTATACACGAAAATAATAATAAAGATAATAAAAACCTATCTTTATTCCTTTAAATACTATCTATTTAATCATAACGTTACTTTACAGCAATTAGTTATGTACAGTGTTTATGTTTAAATGAGTGAATAGTTTTTTTGAAAAAATATGAATGAAATAACATTTGCTTCAAATTTACCGGGTCGGAAATGTTAGCATCGATCGTCGTAATGTTAACCGGAAGATCTGAAGCGCAGCGAACCTAACGGCGGCTTTTACAGTTAAAATTTCTTTCCCGAGGGTATCTTCAGATACCTTGTTATATTCAGCGAACGGCATTGGACTGGCATCGTTTTTTGCAACCACAAGAATCACGTTTATGTGAATTCTACTTACCGGTGCAAACGCCCGACTTCATAGAATAAAATTTACAAGCTCCTTCATCAGGAATCCGATTTCTGTGACAAAAAATTTGTAGTCATGGGCGTGGATGTGGAAGTTCTTTCTCCTGGAGATGGTAATTATTCTGTACACGATATTCTGCGATCTTTCACTTTTCTTTTTCGATCGTCGCTCCTCTCATTTCAAGTCACACATCGATGATTCGTTTTCTATTCGACTTCGATCAAATTTCATTAATTGTATAGCGATTTAAGCATGCCGGAAACTTTTGTCGGCGTGATTTATTTACAACCTGAAAATCTATGAAAAGCATTCTTCGTCAACGATTCCCTCCAAATAAGGTGATTTCGATCTTTAGTTAACACGCGTGATGAATGTGCAAAATTCTAATACTTGTTACTTTTCATTTATAATGGAATATTTCTTGTAATGGTGTGTTTTATCTATGTAGGTCAGACATATCCGAAAACGGGGCAGACTGTAGTCGTTCATTATACAGGTAAATATGTTTTATATCGTTTTCCTATAAAATTACATAATTTCATTTTTAATACCATATCTGGAATTTATACATTAAGACACATTTTCATTAAGCAAGGTATTAGTTATCTATAAAATTATTATTTATTTTAGAACAGAATTTAAGTGGAAGCAAAATGTATATTAGTTAGAAATAAATTTACTTAACACTTATATAATCATTTAGGAAATTATTTTGAATTTTCTGATAATTTAATTAATAAATGCCTAATAGGTACCCTTGACAATGGAAAAAAATTTGACTCCAGCAGGGACCGTGGGGTTCCATTTAAGTTTAAAATAGGTAAAGGGGAAGTTATTAAAGGCTGGGACCAAGGAGTTGCTCAAATGTGTGTTGGAGAACGTGCTAGGTTAACTTGTTCACCAGATTTTGCCTATGGTAGCCGAGGACATCCTGGAGTATATCCTTTAACATGAAATAAACATTTATAGCATTGTGAATTGCAATAATAGGGAGATAAACAAAATTTTATAGGTCATAAATGTATTTTTATATATTTGCAAATGAAGTGTGTTTTATGGCAGATTTACATATGCTTAATATTGATATGGTTATTTATTTTTCAGTATATAAAAAAGACATTATTGATTCTTTAAATATAGAAGGAATAAATTTAAACATATAGATTTTTTGCAGTCTACTATCTTATGTTGCACATTTTTGTAGTATTTAATATTTTATTAACCATATTAATTTACTTATAATGACTAAATAATTTAATCATTATTGCCATTACTATTTATCTATAAAAAGTTAATGTCAACAGTTATTAGTATTATCCTTGACATAGGCACACTATTCCTCCAAATGCTGTTCTCATCTTTGATGTGGAGCTATTGAAGGTGGAGCCTTGAAGAATTCTCGAGGGTGTACCAAATCAACTACACACATCAGAACCACTGATAATTAAACGCTTCAAATTGCATTATGTTAAGTAGTCATTGCATGAGTGATATGTCTCACATACTAATCTTAATTTGATTGCTCATAAGAAAAAAAAAAAGAAAATTTAAGACTTCCATTCTGTGTTCCACTATTGCACAATTATATAAACCACAAATTACAGTTGTACAGAAATCTTCAATGACCAATTAATGTGGAATATTAGAACACTTTTTACACATATTTATGTCTAATGGGGTTAAAGTTTACACATTGCTCGTTTTGAGGCTGATATTGCATTCCTATTATGAGTAATTAAATTAAATAAATCTTGAAGCATTTGACATGTAATCTGACATCTGTGTTCATTCCAATTACTTAGTACTTGGTAAACAACCATCTGGATATTTTGTACAAAATCTTTCAATGATGCAAAAAGAAATAATTGTACTGATAATGTAATAGTATGAACCTTTACACGGAAAAATTCAATAAAAAAATTGTCTTCAAGTATACGAATATATTTATTAGCCCATGATTAATATTTGTTTGTCGGAATTTAATTTTTTATCGTTTATATACACGTCAAATAAGTTTAATTTGTTTTTATTTCATATCAATATTTTAACTTTTTCACCTATAAATTATTTCAAAATTTTGTTGCATTTTTATACAATTTTATACTAGTAGTGTGAAGATGTAAAAGCAAGTTTTTTAAACAAGACAACATTGACAATACATTACATGTCTTGCCAATAACACGATATTAATACAGAAATATGTTAGTATTTACTACTTTCTTATAATAATAAAAGGAAATATGTTACAAATTGCGCACCACTAGTTTACATATTGTCATAATTAAACTACATTTTTTAACTTATCTTTACAAGCCTAAAATGCAATGAGTTGATCAAAAGTAATATCCAACTTATGACTAGAAATAAGTTATACTACTAAATATTACAGTGTCTAATATTGAATAACTATTATTACACGCGTTAAACTTATCAAAATGAACTATATGTAAAAAACATTTTCCTCTGTTTTTAACGTAAAAAGTACAAATAAATTAAGTTGATTATAATTGACATCTGACAATCGCAGTATTCAACTTAATAAAAATCTTATAACAAGACAATTATTTGTTACTTTAATAAACAAATAATTCCGGAAATAGTATTTCATAAGCTGGTGCTTGATTTGGTTTGGTATCTGTTGGCGGTCCACCTGGTTGCGTTGTATTTCGTGGATCAACCGATAATGTGTTAAAGATTTCTGAGAGTTTACTTTGTAAAACATCGTGCTGCAAAATTATTTATGATTGTCTGTGCTGCTTTTTTTCAGTATGTAATTTATTTATTAAATTGTTATTCTTATACCTTCGGTTGTGTCTTTGATACCAAATCTTGGAATGGTGCGTTTCTAAAGAAGTGCGATAACTGCAATCGTTTTTCTTCTTCCTTCATATTATTATTATTACTTTCTGTTAGAATTCGTTTCATACTTTCAAAGGTTAATTGTTTTCCTGGTAATTTCTGAGAATTTTCCTGGAAAATGTAGAAGAAATTATCAGGAAGTTAGAAGATAAAAAAGTAATTTAAGGAAAGGGTGTACTTCTTGAACGCCAGGAGATGAACCACCACTATCTAAATCTGTGGCACCAGAATTAATATCAACTAATGAATTTCGTCCAGCACTTTCAACCCATGAATGCCTAAAAATATGAAATGTTGATAGTATTAAGATAATATTATAGATTAGATAAGATTAAGGCGTTGCAATTGATATTACCGATGTTGCAGCGAAATACTGCTGTAACCAGATCCCTGTTGCAATTTTCCACTGTCAAGACCAGCTCCTTTCAAACATTCACTCAAAACAGTTTGATCAACTAATAGAGCAGGTGCTAATCTAGAAGATAAACTATTATCATACTGCGATTGCAAATCAGGCAAAAGATGTGGTGCTTCCTTTCGCCGTATTTCTACAATCTTAAAATAAACAAAATAAAATTAGTAGTTTTATAAAACATAAAAATATTAAAATTTTTGTTTGAAGGTATTTGTTACTAAACTTACTTTATTTCCATAATCCATGAGTGAGGTGATATTACAAACGTAAGATATTAGTACCAGCAAACTAATGACAATAGCGTGCAAATTAAATTTAAGTGAAATACTGATTTGGCCACTTGTTAAAGCTAAATCTTGAAGACTCAGTACTAATCTTAGTAGCTCCAACACGGTTTCTTCTGAAGCCAATTCCACGGCAAGTAATGCCAATGTTGTATATATAGATTCCACATTTTCTACCTTGTTACTTGCCAATTCTAACGATTCGTATAACGCTAAATAAATTTCAGGGCCATGTTTACGAATAAAGATCACATCTGGCCTGGATGCTTTTTCAATGGTAAGATCAAGTTGTGCAACGTTTACTCTATTCAATAAATACAATAAAATCACATATGAGTAAAATAGAGTAAAATAAAATGTTTAGTGTTTAGAATATGAGATAATCAAATAGAGTAAAATAAAATGTTTATCATTGGTAACTTACGTAGGCTTCGCGAGTTTCGTAATATTTTGATGCCTGTCAATTAAAGTATGAAAGATTTTTTGTACTAAAAGTCGCATTTCGGCATCAGCTGCAAGCGACATTCTTAATAACGGTTCCAAGAAACTGGGTGGAAACGTTGTATTTAAATGTATAGTTTGATATTTTGTGCCGACCTAAAAATAATTATAAACATATCGACAAAGTGTACTCAATAATAAATATATCTTACAATATACATTTTAATTGTATTAGTAGCACATAATTACTTTTAAAAGTGATTTTAAAAGAATACTTTGAAGTAATACATCTCCTTTACCAACTGAAACTATACGATCTGGTTGACTGTATGGTACTTTACTCATTATGAACATCATAATTTCTATTTTCTGATAATCTGGTAGATGATTTGCGAATTCTCCAAGGGCATTAATAAGTGCCTCTTGATATAACTGTTCATCATTGCTTGAAGATTGGTTTCTTGTTACACTGACTCTGAGATGTGATAGGAGAGAATTTATTATTTCCAAAACAGAGGGACCTTTAAAAATATATTATTTTCATTAACGATACAATATAATTGAATTAATTTACTTCGCTAATTTATGTACTTTTTTATTATAACTTACCAACACTTTCACCAGCTGCAATAGAAATAATTTTGGACAAAGTGTCTGCAATACTTGTTCGAATTTTCGGAGACGATTTCGAATGATCATCAAGATGTGTCATTAATGCTTCCACAACTGTATAAGAATATTGTGACTAAAAGAAGTTTAGTATATTTATATATTTTATAGTTACTATTTTCCAAGTATTTATTGATAAATTTCTACGAACCTGAATGGAAAACATAATTATCCTAAATGTATGAATTGCAAAGTAATTAGGAACCCATAACTGATGATTATCTAAATGCCTACAAATGATTTTCATTATATCAATACCTCTGTTACAATATAAACACATTAATTTTTGACAAACCTTAAAACAGGTCTAATAACACATCTAATATGACCAAATGATGCTCGTCCTACGAGTTCTCGCATACAGGTTTCCGCAAATTGTGGTGGATCAGATCGTTCTTCCGTTGGGCTGTCTGGTGTTGCATCTTCTTTACTAGAATATCTACTAAGACAAATTTGTTAATATGTGAATAATGACCAAAGTACATTATGCATATAAGCACTAATTTCTTTGTACATATCACCTTGAGTTCTGCATGTTATATAGCAATGAAGGAACAATTTTATCCATGTGAACAGGTTCCCAAATGTTTTCTACCAGATCATCAGAAAGTGTTTTTCTTACGACACCCTATGTTAAAAGTTTCAATTAATCAATCTATTTTATATTTAATTAAATTACAAAATTAAAGTAACAATATAAGAGACTTCTCAAGGCATTAAACATGTGATGAAAATCATGCCTGTAATCCTTGAATTCCAGCAAGCCGTATCTGCTTCCGGATTGCGGAGTCGTTATGGTTGGAGTGGCACATTGCAGAGTATTTTGATACAAAGAAATCGTAACGTGTGTGATAAGACGGCGTATCTTGCTCGATGTTGGCAAACCGGACAAACTGGAAGAAGCCAGCACTTTGTTCAACTGAATTCAAAGATGCCAAAATACAATTATTTTTGATGCCAATAAATCATAAGTAACAGAAATAATAAAAAGTAACACTAAATAATAGAATATATCTAAATTTAAGAATTCCATATATACACTTGAAATTAATTATTGAAACTTACAGATTGTGTTGCCAGTATTTGTAATTGTGGATCTGTAGATTCCAACAATTTTTGTACCATTTTCAAAAAGCTTTCAACAAATAAATTCAATGTTTGAGCATGGCATGCTACCAAAAGTTGATCCATTGCTTCCATAGCAATGACAACAAATCCATTTCTTCTCCTGTTAATGTAAATGCGGTTCTTTTAGTAATTTCATACTAATATATAAAAATATCTAACATATCTAAGGAAGAGATTCATATTTTGTAACATAATTCATTAATAACATGTAATTATTTGAATGACTGGCATATACTATAAGTAAATAAGAATTTACATTAATTGCATGAATAAGCATTTTTCACAGTTATTAGATTAATCACATATAATTTTCTACCACTTCAGTTATTTATGACATACCTGTAAATGTCCCTGGAAGCCCTTTGAAACAAGTACTCTCCAATTCTGTCTAGTTTTTCAGGGCTACTTAACGAATAAAAGGTCAATTTTTCCATGTTATTTTTGACCAAGCCATCCTAATTATAGAAATATTAATTCATATCATAAAGGATACTAGTGTTAATTTATTATATCACATATTAAGATAAATAGTGTACATTTAAAAACAATAAAACCAAAGTTCAAAATTGATCCTAAGAATCGGTATTCTTAATATTCAATATTTAAATTTTGTTATGACTTTTATTTTTTAACTAAGATTTATTTACTATCACACAAGTTTTTTCCAGTTATCACCCTGCTATGTATATGTGTGAATTATGTTAAAACTATTGTAAAAT